CGACAGTCAACTTGGCACCGCTGAAGGGACTGTAGCACCGCCCAAATTTCGACGGAATCAAAGGCTTTCTCATAGTCCACATATGCCAGGCAAAGTGGCAGATTGTACTCTTCGGTCTTCTGTACGATCTGCCGCAGGGTATGTATGTGGTCTATGGTACTGAAGCCTTTTCGGAAACCGGCTTGTTCGGGAGGCTGGAAGTCGTCGAGTCTGCGTGCGAGACGATTCGTAATGCCTCTCGAAAACAGCACGTAGACGCGGCTCAGAAGGGAAATCGGTCTGTAGTTCTTCAAGAGAGCGTTGTCGCCTTTCTTAAAGAACAAGACCACCGCGCTTTTGCTCCACGCCTCCGAAGTAGTGCCACCATGGAGGACGGAATTGAACAGTTTCTGAAGGACTTCAAGTACCGGTGTTCCACCCGCTTTCAGAAGCTCCGCTATAATTCCATCCTCGCCCGAGGCCTTGCCGTTTTTAAGGTGTTGGAGAGCCATTCTAATCTCGCTCAGACTGACGTCAGGGATATCATCGGAATAGTGTCGGATAAGACTTGCTCTTGGATCGTTACTCACACTTGCGTGTGGCTCCAACGATGATATGTACAGCTGCCCACAGAACCTCTAAATCTCACTCAGAATCTCAGGTGTCCCGGAAAAGATGTTGCCACACTCAGTCTTCAGCTTTGACAGTCGGCTCTTTCTGGCGGACAGATCTCTGACAAAGACTTTGGAGCCCTGGTTCCGCTCGATCGCTTCTCTCTCAATATCTCATTATTCTCTCGTATTAACGAGCAGTATTAAAGTTGTGTAAGTCTCGCCGCATGCACTTGGAGATCTGTCTGTTCAGTTGCCTGTATGCTGTCAAATCTGTTGACGATTGCAGCGTCATCTCCCGTCTAACAGCCATGAGATTAAGAGTGTGATCGGAGAGTTTTTGTGTTCTTCTGCGGCGGGTCTTGCAGAACTTAGCTCCGACCGCATGGACAGTTTCCACGAGCTTGTCATTCATATCGTCCACTGCATTGCAATCTTCTAGGCACTGAAAGCGGTTACGTAACTTGAGCTGAAAGGTTTCGGGAATCTGGATTAGAGCACGAGGGGAACGATGCGTTGACTTCATTAGACTAGACCTCTCCAACTTAACGTTTAGGTTCAGTGTGCTTCTAACCATTCCGTGATCGCTGCCAGTTTTCACCCTTGCGATCACTGACACATCACTGAACAGTTGGCGTCTGGTCATCATAATGAAGTCAATCTCATTTTTTGTCGAACCGTCGGGGCTCGACCAGGTCCACTCCTGTGGGGACGCTTCTGGAAGAAAGAGTTCATCATAAAGAGTGCCTCTTTCTCCATAAAGTCGGCCAGTTGCTGGCCCCTTCGGTTCCGTTGCCCTACTCCAAATTTCCCCACCTTCAGCTCACCGCTTTCTCTTGTGCCTAGTTTTTCGTTGAAGTCTCCCATCAACACCGTGTAGTGGGTTTTGGAGGAATGCATGGCTCTGGAAATATCCTCATACATTTCCTCCACCTCCTCATGGGGATGTGCCGAGGTTGGTGCGGAAACCTGTATGACCTTCAGCGAATACCGTTTGGTGATTCTGAGTATCAGGCACGCGACCCTCGTCGACACACTTCCAATCTTCACAACGTTGTTGACGAGAGACTTGTGGACGATAAATCCGACACCTCCTGGGGACAGATGGTCGCCCTCCCGGTGATAGAACAAGTTGCCGGACTCGAGGATTGCCGTGTCCTCCCTCTCTCTTCGGACCTCGGATAATCCAATAATATGCCAGCGCAACTTGTCTACCTCTTCTTCCAGCTCCAGTATCTTCTCGTCAGTTCTCAGAGTGCGTGCGTTATATGTTGCCAGGTCGAGTCGTCGTAGGTGGCAACCGAACCTCCACCGGAGATGTGTTCAATAAAAATGCGTGTCGTTTAATGATTCGTAGATTTAATTAAAAAACGTAGTAGTAGTATTAAAAAACGTAATTGTAGATTTAATTGAAAAATAAATTTGTGGCCGAAAAATATTTGCGCCTTGGCTGAGACGTACGAAATGCTTTATTATTAAAATTTTAAATATGAAAAATCCGCATTATAATATAAAGCTTAATTAAAAATTGTTTTGGAAAACATGGACAAGTTGGAGTAAAGGAATATCTTTTACTTGATTATAGATACCTGCAGCTACTTTACAATTTATATGTTTGGTTTTAAATGAAGTTCGGATTTATTATTTTTTTATTTCTATTCTATTTTCTGAAAGGGTCCTAGGAAAGGAATTATCCACCGCGCTGCCCCACTGCGTGTAGGCGAACTTTGCATGTCTTCGAAATATTTTTTTTTCTTATTTCTCAGACATGCAGGTTTCCTCACAATGTTTTCCTTCACCACTGAGCACGTGGTAAATCAACACTTAAAATTGCAATTACAATATTATTGGTGCTGGCGGGGATCGAACCCGGTTTGCTCGCACACTGTGAAAATTTTATTTTCACAGTGTGCGAGCTTTTTTTTTCATTATCTGAGCTACCACGGCTCCTCTCCTCTCGAGCTAGAGACTTTATTTTATTTATCGTCAGGCCTGTTGGTCTAGTGGTTAGTGACCCTGACTGCTATGCCGCAGGTCGTGGGTTCGATTCCCACCCAGGACAAACGTTTGTGTGATGAGCACGATCATTTGTTCTGTGTCTGGGTGTAATTTATCTATAATATTTATGTATTTAGAAATATATAAGTATGTTTATCAGTTGTCTAGTACCCATAACACAAGCTCTGCTTAGCTTGGGACTAGATGGCGTTGTGATAGTTGTGGAATATTATTATTATATTATTATTGTTGGGGTATCTGTATAGTTTTCTCATCTGGTTGGTTTTAATAAATATATAACTATAAATTAAAATGAAAAGATAAATACATAAATATCAATAAAATAAAATAAATACAAAAAATATACAAATAAATAAAGATCCAACCAGATGGAAGCCCTCGGCAGAGGAGACCAAACGGCCGAGGGTTAGGAGGAAATAATACTATTTACGGTAAGTGTTTTCACTTCTCAGCTCTAGGCTGGATTTCAACTACATTTACGGGCCGAAGCCAAAGCAAATGCAGCGTGTGGTGTGTAGTGTAGTTCATGTGATTTGATGAGGTCCTATTTCGTTTTCTTCTATCTGCATGAATTTCCTAACTATTCTGCATGTATTTAATATAGCTGCTTTTTGAAGTGTAATATATAGAGTTTCTTTTAGTTGTAATAATTTTAAGCTACGGAGGAGATGATTTGGGATGACACCTGTTGTGGAGAGGACTATAGGGACCACATATACTTTTTCTTGTTGCCAGATTCTAGTCACTTCATCTTTAAGTTCTGCGTACTTACTAATTTTTTCAGTTATCGTCTTCTGCAAGTTGTGTGTGTTGGGGACTGCAATGTCTATCAGGTAAGTAATATTATTTATTTTATCTTGTAGAATTATATCTGGTCGGTTATAGTGGATTGTCCTATCGGTGAGAATGCCGCGGTCGTAAAAAAAGTTTATGTGTGGTATTTTCTAGAGTATGTTTTGGTGTATATTTGTAGTACGGAGTGTTGGCATCTGGAATGAGTGCGTGTTTGAGTGCTAGTTTTTGATGAATGACATTGGCCACCTGATTGTGTCTGTGAGTGTAGTCAGTCTGTGTGAGAGTTGTGCATGCGCCTGTGATGTGTTGAATGGTTTCTGGATGTGCCTCCCTCCATGTTCTCGTTTTATTGTTAGTCTCTCTATGGCGGATTTAGGGTGTAGGTTATTGTGTTTCGTGAGTGTTGTACGTGTAGTTCGCTCTAATTGTTCTGCATCAGTTTTGGACCATTTTATAACTCCGAATGAGTACGTTAATATGGGGATGACATAGGTGTTAATGGCTTTGATGAGATGTTTACTTGAAAGTTGAGTTTTACAAACGGCGTTAAGTCTTCTCTTGTATTCCGTAGTGAGAGAATTTTTAATTCGTACGTGGTCAAGACTTTTAAGTTGGACATACCCTAAATATTTGTATAAGTCAGTCGATTCCATTGCTGTAATAGTCTCCGTTTCATTTACCACATAGTCGCCGGGCCTTACTTTGCCTCTTACAATGTGAAGTGTTTTACATTTATCTAAACCAAAATGCATATTATTATTAGTATTATTATTTATGGTACAATTTTTGTCGCATGCCCGCGCTTACTTTTGGTTCTGGCAAAAAGTTGTGAAACGTCTGTGAACGTCAGAATTGTGCACATGTTGGTCGCAAATATTTTACCTGCACTTCAAAAATTTATTGTGTGAGTATTTTAAACTATTTTTACAGATATGATGAACCATATGTAATAAAAAATAGTCTCCTATCTTTCTCTCTATGTTTTGATCTATAACGAGTTTGAGTTGGTAAAATCAAGGGAAAGTTAGGGTAGGGTTGTCAATTATTATTTTGATAATAAAACTAGTGAAATTCCGCGGTTTTATATGCGCAAGCGTGAACGTAGTTAGAACATAATATAACCTTTATGTTTTACATAAATATCCTAAAAAACTTATTATTTTAATATTTTACTAAGTACCTATAAAATTAACAAGTTTATTGCATTTTTATTTGAGTAATTTTTTTATGCAATTTCTTTATCTACGTCTATTTTTAGGAACCTTTATTTAGTCTGAATCATACATAACACTATATTACTGATTTACTTACTTATACGTAGTTTTCTTTTTTGCAGTTACAAATATCTTGTGAGGTTGAAAAAGGCAGTAATGAAAAAATAATAAGAATAATAATAATTGACGTCAGCCACTTCTTTTCATAAAAATTTCAGATCATGGTCCATTAGGTTGCAGCTTCACCGAACCACAACTTATAATAATAATAATAATAACAGTAAGAATTGATGACCGTATCGCAAAGGCAAGGGCCCTTATCGGCAGACTGATAAGCTTCAGGTCGGGTAATAATAGACCGAGGGTTGTGCGCACCGTTAGAATGGCGTTTGCTGGGACAAATATCAGTTTGTCCCAGCCGGATATCACGCGGAAACTAACGGAGCGCATAGACGACCTGAAGCAAAAGATTGCTGCTTGGGGGAAGCGGATTCGCCGATTTACCGAGAGGTCAAGGCGGTTCAACCAGAATCGTCTCTTCCAGAGTGATCAGAAGAGGCTCTACAAATCATTGGAGCGACCAGAGGTATGTGGAGCGGGCCCAGGACCGGATCAGGCTAACACTGTCGCATTTTGGCGTGGCCTGTGGTCAGAGCCCGTAAACCACAGCGAGGGACCTTGGACGGAAGTTGTGGCGAGTCAGTGTGCGAGTATTACGCCCATGGACCCCGTCATCATAACGCCGGATGACGTAGCTGAGGCGGTCCGTAGAGCCCCGAACTGGAAAAGTCCGGGACTCGACGGACTGCATCACTACTGGCTGTCTGGGGTTCATGGTGTGTCACGCTGTGCTCGCCCGTCGGTTTCAAGAGGCTCTCAACCAGAAGTCGCTCCCTAGCCTCTTTACTACTGGGATCACTCATTTGGTTCCTAAAGACCAGGTTACCACAGACCCGAGCAAATACCGCCCCATTACGTGTCTACCCACCATATATAAGACACTGACATCCATTTTGAGTGCGAGAATCACTCGTCACCTGGAACTAAATCAGGTGATGTCACGCGCCCAAAATGCATGTCAGGGCGGTGGTCGTGGAACTAAGGAACCACTCCTCAATGACGCGGTCATTGGCAAAGTGGTGAAACGCAACCATCGGAACTTCTCCGCCGCCTGGATAGACTACAGAAAAGCATTCGACTCGGTGCCCCATACATGGCTAAAGAGGGTCCTCGAGCTGTACAAGATTGACTGTACAGTTAGAGACTTCCTCGAGCAGTGTATGGGGCAGTGGAGTACGATCCTTTGACATCTGGGTGAGCGGATGATGGCTGCGGAGAACCACATAAGGATAAGAAGGGGGTATCTTCCAGGGCGATTGTCTGAGTCCAATCTGGTTCTGCCTCTCCCTGAACCCTCTCAGTACCTTACTGGAGGGATCCGGGAGAGGATTTCAGCTACGGAAAGGAGGGACAAAAGTGACCCACCTTTTCTATATGGACGACCTTAAGTTATTCGCCTCCAGTCGCTCCCATCTTATGGAATTGCTAAAAATCACTTGTGAGTTTAGCAGTTCCATTGGAATGGAGCTGGGGACGGATAAGTGTGCGGTCCTCCATGTTGAGAGGGGAAGGGTTACTAACTCTGAGGGCATAGATTTATCTATGTCCGTCAACTTAAAGACCCTTTACGAGGCTGAAACATACCGATACCTGGGTATGTCACAGAACATCGGTATCGATGAGGCTGGTATGAAACAGTCAGCTTGCGACGTGTTTTATGTACGCTTGACCAAAGTACTTAATAGCCTTTTGTCCAGTGTGAATAAGACACACGCATATAACGGCTGGGTCATACCTGTCCTGATGTATACCTTTGGCATACTCAGGTGGACTCAGACTGAACTTAACGCCCTGGATAGAAAAGTCCGCACTACCATGACGTCCCATAGGATGCATCATCCGAGATCGTCGGTAATGAGGCTGTACTTGCCGCGAAAGCATGGTGGGCGTGGCTTTCTGAGCGCGCTCACTATGCATAATCGTGAAGTGTGTAGCCTCCGTCATTACTTCCTGGCGAGATCGGATGATCCATTCTATAATGACGTCATTTCTAGTGATAAAGGGCTTACCCCTCTATCCTTGGCCAACGAGCAATGGCAGGACCCAGCAGTGCTTAGCATTTCCGACCGGGGGGACCGTATGGAAGGAGAAGGAGCTCCACGGGAGGTACTACAGGGCTCTACATGAGCCCTTCGTAGATACAGTCGCCTCCCTCAACTGGCTACGTTTCGGTGACCTCTTCGGGGAAACCGAGGGTTTTGTCTGTGCAATACAGGATCAGGTTATTAAGACCAACAACTATGGGAGATACATCCTAAAGGATGGCACCGTCGACGTCTGTCGAGCTTGTCACCATCCAGGGGAGTCACTTAGGCATGTCATCTCCGGTTGTTCGGCGCTTTCTAACTCTGAGTACTTGCACAGGCACAACCTAGTAGCCAGAATTGTACACCAGGAGCTCGCTTTGAAATACGGTCTCGTGGACCGGAAATTGCCGTATTACAAGTACTTGCCGGAAGCCGTGCTCGAAAATGACCGCGCCAGGCTATACTGGGACCGGGCCATCATCACAGACAGGACTATTCTTGCAAATAAGCCTGATATTGTGCTGATGGACCGGGCACAGTCAAGGCATATTTTTGGTCGACATTACCATTCCGTATGACGAGAACCTCGTGAAAGCCGAAACAGATAAGCGAACAAAATATCTGGACCTGGCTCACGAGGTGACCGACATGTGGGGTGGGTGGCCGACCGAAATTATTCCTGTAGTCGTCTCTGCGAATGGGCTAATCCCAGTCAGCCTCTCGGGTCATCTGAGGCGACTGGGACTCCGTGACGGACCGGCTCCCGGCTCTAATGCAGAAGGCAGTAGTCCTCGATACCGCCCGCATCGTCCGCCGGTTTCTTTCCCTTTCCCTCCGTTTGGTCTCCCCTGCCGAGGGCTTCCATCTGGTTGGATCTTTATTTATTTGTTTATTTTTTGTATTTATTTTATTTTATTGATATTTATGTATATTTATCTTTTCATTTTAATTTATAATTTTTATATATTTAAATATTTATATAACCGAACCAGATGAGAAAATTATACGGCTCCAACGATTTTAGCGACGAACGCTTTGATTTATTTTTAGAAAATGTCCTTTTGTCCATGTTTTCAGGCAATAAAGAAACTGATACAATATAAGAAGGTAAATTTCGACAAGTCACTAATGATCGTTATAGCTCAGGTGGTATGTCGGTCGGGCGTGATATCGGTGTTCCGTGGTTCGCGTCTTGGCTTTGGGTCCCGCTTTTTTTTTCCTTTTTTTTTTTTTCAAGTTCCCTTCTTTTGTGAGAAAATCTATTATTTCAAACCCTTTTTGTGGAATGTGGAAACATATAAAGTCCAATGTTAAGATAAAACCAAAACACAATATCCCGATAGACTTGTTTAATGATCCAAATAAAATAAACGACTATTTTTTAAACGTGCCTGGAAATAGAAACGTCTCGTTGTCATATTTAACGTACTTTGAGTTCCACTGCTGCGTTAGTGACATATTTGAGATAAAGGAAGTAGATGAACTAGAGGTACTAAAATTCATTAAAAGTTTAAAATCTAAAGCCATAGGCATTGATGGGATTTCTCTCGATATGATCCGTATGACCCTCCCGAAAACACTATCAACTATTACTGCTATGGTGAACAAATCCATTAACTCTAAAACCTATCCGACATTATGGCAACATGCGTTAGTCAAACCCATACCTAAGAACTCAAATCCATTGTCTGAAAAAGACCTTCGGCCCATCAGTATTCTCCCCTGTGTCTCTAAAATTATTGAAAAAATTGTCGCAGAACAGCTAAACATGTATTTAGATAGAAAAAAATTCTACCGGAAATGCAGTCGGGATTTCGTAAGAACCATAGCACCACGACGGCCCTAGCCCAACTTACTGACGATGTACTAACCGCTCAAGATGAAGGAAAAGGCACAATACTAGTATTACTAGATTTTTCTCGTGCATTTGACTGTATAAATGTTTCCCTTCTCTTATCAAAGCTTCATTACTATGGATTCAGTAGCAGCGCAGTACAATGGTTCGATAGTTATTTTAAAAACCGACTACAAACTGTAGAACTGAGCGATGACCGAGGAACATTAATACGTTCGCAATCAAAAAAAATCAAAGCCGGTGCGCCCCAGGGATCGAACCTGGCTCCAATATTGTTTTCAATTTACAGTGCCGACTTAGTAAAAAACATTAAGCACTGTAAATTTCATTTATACGCAGATGATTTGCAAGTCTATATGTCATGTAATCCGCGTGATACTCAAGAAGTCGTTAATAAAATCAATGAAGACCTCGAAAGTATAGCCGCGTGGTGCGACTCAAACTGCCTTGTACTAAACGGAACTAAATCTAAACTACTAATTATGGGTTCTAAAAATCAAATAAAAAATATATCAGAAAGAGGGGCATGCATCCAAATTCGAGGGGAAATCGTAGAACGTGTAAATGAGGTTCGCAATCTGGGCTTACTAATGGATGACAAACTACAGTTTGAGAACCACATACTAAGTATTAGCAGAAACTGCTTTTATAGACTTAAAGTTCTTTATCAAATAAGGGAGTTTTTAAATTTGGATATTCGGGTAAAATTGTGTGACACACTTGTCCTTTCGAAATTTAATTATATGGACATTGTATATGGCCCGAGACTTTTAGCGCGGTCGCGACGTCTAGTGCAACGTGTTCAAAATGCATGTGCAAGATTTAGTTTTACAATACCGCCCCGCACGCACGTCACCCCTTACATTAACAATGCCAAAATGTTAAAAATGGAATATCGCCGAAAACTGCACATGGCAACTCTCCTATTCGGGGTATTAAAAAATAAAACACCTCCTTATCTTGCTGACAAACTCATATGGTCACGTGATGTAAAAACTTATAATACGCGCATCAGAGGTAATACTCTCGTCGTGCCTCGTCACCGCACTCACGCTTTCCGAGGAAGTTTCAAATACGCCGCCTCCAAGTGCTGGAACGATATACCGCCTCCTTTGCGAAATCTGAAAGCAGTACACACATTTAAAAATAAATATAGAACACAATTACTGCAAAGTCAGATTGACTTTGATCAAAGTTTATAACGCTTTGCACGATTACGTACCTCATCGTCGTAGATTATTAACAACTGAGCATTAAAATCGTCCTCTAGAATGCGGCTTTTGTCTTCTTATGTACATACTTTTATATTCTTCAATAATTACATAGTGTAGTATATAGCCCTATATAGTATTTTAATAATCTCCCCTTTTGTAGTGTTCGTATAGTCATAATTCTGTTAAAGCATAATAAAATAAGTATACATATAGCACTGATTTCGGTAAGTCACTGGTTGGACACACTGAAAATAAGCGCCATGGAAAAAAAATTCATGGCATTATGCTGAGTGTGCTCCTGTTCCCAGATGACGCCTTGACACATACTAGTATAGGTATTGTATAGTTTGTAATATGTAGTATATTGTAATTTGTATTGTATAGCCAATATTATTTGTAAATTATGTGTTTTTTTTATGTTATCTGTGATGGCGTCATTTTGGAGAATAAACCTTGCTTTCTTTCTTCTTTCTTTCTTTCTTTTTTTTAGAAATTTTGAAAAATACGAAAATTTAAATTTTAAAAATTTAAAAAAAAATATCTATTTAGGTACTAATGCTATATTTATTATTTTAATAATTACCTACCCAGTAGGTAAATATTAAAATAATAAATGTAGCATTATAAACAGTAAATCTCCCTCAAACTCAATTTACTAATATTGTTCCTAAATAAGGAATAG